GTCACTTGTCCCAATTCTGGAGAAGTCACTTGTCCCGAGTCTTGAGAAGTCACTTGTTCCAAGTCTTGAGAAGTCGCATATAACAAGTTTTGAGAAGTCACTTTGTCCCAAGTCTTGAGATGTCACTTGTCCCAAGTCTTGAGAAGTCACTAGTCCCAAGTCTTGAGAAGTCACTAGTCCCAAGTCTTGAGAAGTCACTAGTCCCAAGTCTTGAGAAGTCACTAGTCCCAAGTCTTGAGAAGTCACTAGTCCCAAGTCTTGAGAAGTCACTAGTCCCAAGTCTTGAGAAGTCACTAGTCCCAAGTCTTGAGAAGTCACTAGTCCCAAGTCTTGAGAAGTCACTAGTCCCAAGTCTTGAGAAGTCACTAGTCCCAAGTCTTGAGAAGTCACTAGTCCCAAGTCTTGAGAAGTCACTAGTCCCAAGTCTTGAGAAGTCACTAGTCCCAAGTCTTGAGAAGTCACTAGTCCCAAGTCTTGAGAAGTCACTAGTCCCAAGTCTTGAGAAGTCACTAGTCCCAAGTCTTGAGAAGTCACTAGTCCCAAGTCTTGAGAAGTCACTAGTCCCAAGTCTTGAGAAGTCACTAGTCCCAAGTCTTGAGAAGTCACTAGTCCCAAGTCTTGAGAAGTCACTAGTCCCAAGTCTTGAGAAGTCACTAGTCCCAAGTCTTGAGAAGTCACTAGTCCCAAGTCTTGAGAAGTCACTAGTCCCAAGTCTTGAGAAGTCACTAGTCCCAAGTCTTGAGAAGTCACTAGTCCCAAGTCTTGAGAAGTCACTAGTCCCAAGTCTTGAGAAGTCACTAGTCCCAAGTCTTGAGAAGTCACTAGTCCCAAGTCTTGAGAAGTCACTAGTCCCAAGTCTTGAGAAGTCACTAGTCCCAAGTCTTGAGAAGTCACTAGTCCCAAGTCTTGAGAAGTCACTAGTCCCAAGTCTTGAGAAGTCACTAGTCCCAAGTCTTGAGAAGTCACTAGTCCCAAGTCTTGAGAAGTCACTAGTCCCAAGTCTTGAGAAGTCACTAGTCCCAAGTCTTGAGAAGTCACTAGTCCCAAGTCTTGAGAAGTCACTAGTCCCAAGTCTTGAGAAGTCACTAGTCCCAAGTCTTGAGAAGTCACTAGTCCCAAGTCTTGAGAAGTCACTAGTCCCAAGTCTTGAGAAGTCACTAGTCCCAAGTCTTGAGAAGTCACTAGTCCCAAGTCTTGAGAAGTCACTAGTCCCAAGTCTTGAGAAGTCACTAGTCCCAAGTCTTGAGAAGTCACTAGTCCCAAGTCTTGAGAAGTCACTAGTCCCAAGTCTTGAGAAGTCACTAGTCCCAAGTCTTGAGAAGTCACTAGTCCCAAGTCTTGAGAAGTCACTAGTCCCAAGTCTTGAGAAGTCACTAGTCCCAAGTCTTGAGAAGTCACTAGTCCCAAGTCTTGAGAAGTCACTAGTCCCAAGTCTTGAGAAGTCACTAGTCCCAAGTCTTGAGAAGTCACTAGTCCCAAGTCTTGAGAAGTCACTAGTCCCAAGTCTTGAGAAGTCACTAGTCCCAAGTCTTGAGAAGTCACTAGTCCCAAGTCTTGAGAAGTCACTAGTCCCAAGTCTTGAGAAGTCACTAGTCCCAAGTCTTGAGAAGTCACTAGTCCCAAGTCTTGAGAAGTCACTAGTCCCAAGTCTTGAGAAGTCACTAGTCCCAAGTCTTGAGAAGTCACTAGTCCCAAGTCTTGAGAAGTCACTAGTCCCAAGTCTTGAGAAGTCACTAGTCCCAAGTCTTGAGAAGTCACTAGTCCCAAGTCTTGAGAAGTCACTAGTCCCAAGTCTTGAGAAGTCACTAGTCCCAAGTCTTGAGAAGTCACTAGTCCCAAGTCTTGAGAAGTCACTAGTCCCAAGTCTTGAGAAGTCACTAGTCCCAAGTCTTGAGAAGTCACTAGTCCCAAGTCTTGAGAAGTCACTAGTCCCAAGTCTTGAGAAGTCACTAGTCCCAAGTCTTGAGAAGTCACTAGTCCCAAGTCTTGAGAAGTCACTAGTCCCAAGTCTTGAGAAGTCACTAGTCCCAAGTCTTGAGAAGTCACTAGTCCCAAGTCTTGAGAAGTCACTAGTCCCAAGTCTTGAGAAGT